CCATTCACAGTTGTTGTATCAAAAACAATGAAACACCTAGGAATAAACCTAACAAAGATAGTGAAAGACCTATACTTTGAAAACTACAAGACACTCATGAGAGAAATTAAAGAAGATACCAATAAATGGAAACACATCCCTCATGCTCATGGATAGGAAGAATTAATATTGTCAAAATGGCCAACCTACCTAAAGCAATCTACAAAATCAATGCAATTCCTATCAAAATTCCAAAAACATTCTTCAATGAACAAGAGAAAATTATTCTAAAACTCATATGGAAACACAGAAGACCCAGAAGAGGCAAAGTAATCCTTAGGAGGAAGAATAAAGCAGGGGGATCACGCTCTACTACAAAGCCACAGTACTGAAGACTATTTGGTACTGGCACAAGAACAGATCCACACACCAGTGGAACAGAAACAGAGTCCAGATATTAACCTAAACATACACAGTCGATTAACACACGATAAAGCTGCCATGGATATACAATGGAAAACGACAGCCACTTAAACAGCTTGTGTTGGCAAAACTGGACAGCTACATGTAAGAGAATGAAACTGGATCACTGTTTAACTCCATACACAAAAGTAAATTCAAAATGGATCAAAGACCTGAATGTAAGTCATGAAACCATAAAACTCTTGGGAAAAAAAGGCAAAAATCTCTTGGACATAAACATGAGCGACTTCTTAAGGAACATATCTTCTGGGCAAGGGAAACAAAAGCAAAAATGAACAAGTGGGACTATATCAAGCTGAAAAGTTTCTGTACAGCAAAGGACACCACCAATAGAACAAAAAGGCATCCTATAGTATGGGAGAATATATTCATAAATTACTTCAATGGACCAATCCGATAAAGGGTTGACATGCAAAATATATAAAGAGCTCACACACCTCAACAGACAAAAAGTTAATAATCCAATTAAAAAATGGGCAGAGGAGTTGAACAGACAGTTCTCCAAGGAAATTCAGATGGTCAACAGAGACATGAAAAGACCCTCCACATCGCTAGTTATCAGAGAAACACAAATTAAAACTACAATGAGGTATGACCTCACACCAGTTAGGATGGACAACAGAAAAGACAAGGAACAACAAATGCTGGTGAGGATGTGGGGAAAGGGGAACCCTCCTACACTGCTGATGGGAATGTAAATTAGTTCAACCATTGTGGAAAGCAGTATGGAGGTTCCTCAAAAAGTTCAAAATAAAAATACCATTTGACCCAGGAATTCAACTACTAGAAATTTACGCTAAGAATGCAGCAGCCCAGTTTGAAAAAGACAGATGCACCCCTATTTTTACTGCAGCACTATTTACAATAGCTAAGAAATGGAAGCAACCTAAATATCCATCAGTAGATGAATGGATAAAGAGATGTGGTGCATATACACAACGGAATATTATTCAGCCATAAGAAGAAAACAAATCCTACCATTTGCAACAACATGGATGTAAATAGAGGGTATTATACACAGTGAAATAAGCCAGGCAGAGAAAGACAAGTACCAAATGATTTCACTCATCTGTGGAGTATAAAAACAAAGAAAAAACTGAAGGAACAAAACAGCAGCAGAATCACAGAACCTGAAAGTGGAGTAACAGTTACCAAAGGGAAATGGACTGGGGAAGATGGGTGGGAAGGTAGGGTTAAGAGGGGGAATAAAAGGGGGACATTATGATTAGCATGTATAATGTGGGGGGTGGGACACGCACACCTCAACAAACAAAAGGCAAATAATCCAATTAAATATTGGCACAAGATCTGAACAGACACTTCTCCAAAGAAGAAATTCAGATGGCCAACACACACATGAAAAGATGCTCCACATAGCTAATCATCAGAGAAATGCAAATTAAAACCACAATGAGATATCACCTCACACCAGTAAGGCTCACCACCATCCAAAAGACAAACAACAAATGTTGGTGAGGTTGTGGAGAAAGAGGAACCGTACTACACTGCTGTTGGGAATGCACATTAGTTCAACCATTGTGGAAAGCAATATGCAGGTTCCTCAAAATAGAAATACCATTTGACCCAGGAATTCTGCTCCTAGGAATTTACCCTAAGAATGCAGCAGCCCTATTTGAAAAAGACATGCACTTCTATGTTTATCACAGCACTGGCTATGTTTACAATAGCCAAGAAATGGATGCAACTTAGGTGTTCATTACTAGATGAATGGATAAAGATGTGGTACATATACACCAGAGAATATCATTCAGCCATAAGAAGAAGAAAAATCCTACCATTCGCAACAACATGGATGGAGCTAGAGGGTATCATGCTCAGTGAAATAAGCCAGGTGGAGAAAGACAAGCGTCAAATGATTTCACTCATCTGTGGAGTAGAAGAGCAAAGAAAAAAACTGAAGGAACCAAACAGCAGCAGAATCACAGAACCCGATAGTGGAGTAACAGTTACCAAAGGGAAAGGGATAAGGGGATAAAAGAGGGGCATTACTATTAGCAGACATAATGTTAGGGGTTCGGGGGGGGGTAGGCACAGGGAGGGCTGTACAACACAGAGAAGACAAGTAGTGATTCTATAGTGTCTTACCTACGCTGATGGACAGAGTTTGTTTGGGGGTATGCGGGGGAATTAGTGATGGGGGGAGTCTAGTAAACATAATGTTCCTCATGTAATTGTAGATTAATGATACTAAAATAAAATAAAATAAGTAAATAAAATAAAATAAAATAAAATAGTAAAATCAAATAACTGAAGGAACAAATAAAAATAAATAAATAAATTAAGATGGAGAAAATCTTTGCAAATCACATACCTCTTTAAGGACTCAGACCTAGTATACATACATAAGTTTCAAAACCCAATAATAAGAAAAAGAACTAATTCAAAATAAAAATGGGAAAAAGAGATTAACAGGTGACCAAAAATGTTGTGTATAAATAAGCAGACACTCAACATCCTTAGCCATTACAGAAATGCAAATTAAAACCACAAGGCACTAGAAAGGCCATAATTTAAAAAATCAGAAACTAGCCAGTCTTGACAAAGATGTGGAGAAATTGAAACCCTGATACACTGTTGGTAGAAATGTAAAATGGTACAGCCACTCTAGAAGCCTGACAGTTCCTCCAAAGGTTAAACACAGAATTACCACATGACCCAGTAATTCCACTTTTAAGTATTTACCCAAGCAAAAAAGAAACATACAACCACACAGAGATTTATACATGAATATTCATAGTAGTTTATTCCTAACAGCCAAAAACTAGGAACAACGAAATATCCTTAAAGATACATGATTAGTTAAACTAAATGTGGTACATCCATACTATGGAATACTGCTCAGCAATAAAAATGAAACAAACTTTCAATATACACAATAACCTGAATTAATCTCAACATAAGTACAGAATGAAAGACAGATGAGAAAGAATACATACTGTCAACCAGTAGTGGTGGAAAAAAAGAATATCCACATGCAAATTAATGAAGTTGGACCTTTATCTTACACCACATAAAAAACAACTCAGAATGGATTAAAGACCTACATGTAAGGCCTAAAAACATAAAACTCTTGGAAGAAAACACAGGAGAAAAGCTTTATGATATAATTTAATTTGGCAATTATATCTTGGATAAAAGCACAATCTACAAATGTAAAATTAGGTAAATTGGAATTCATCAAAATTTAGAACTTCTCTGTATCAAAGGACACAACACAATGTGAAAAGGCAACCTGTGGAATGGGAGAAAATATTTGCATATCATTTATCTAATGAAAGGTTAATATCCAGAATATATGAAGAACTCCTACAACAAAAAATAAACAATCTGAGTTAAAAATCAGCAAAGGACTTGAATAGCTATTTCTCAAAAGATGACATACAGATCGCCCACAAGCACATGAAAAGATGATGAACATCACTGACCATTAAGGAAATGCAAATTAAAATGACAATGAGGTACTACCTCACACCCATTAGGATGGCTGGCTACTATCAAAGAAACAATAATAACAAGTGTTGGGAAATGTGGAGAAACTGGAACTCTTACACAATTGAGAGCAATATAAAATGGTGCAGCTTCTTTAGAAAACAGTACGGAGGTTCCTCAAAAAAAAAAAAAACGAAAAATAGAACTACAATATGATTGAGTTATCCCATTTCTAGGTACATATGCAAAAGAAAGGAAGGTTTGGATAGTTGTTTGCACACCTGTGTTCCTAGCAGCAGTATTCCCAATAGTCAACAGGTGGAAGCAACACAAATGTCCATCAATGACTGAGTAAACAAAATGTGGTATACACATACAACAGAATTATTTTTACCCTTAAAAAGGGAAATCCTGGCACATGCTACAACAAGGCTGAACCTTGAGAATATTACACTAGATTAAATTAATCAGTAACCTAACAACGAATATTTACAGATTCCACGTAGGTGAAGTACTTAAATTAGTAAAAGAAAGACAAAGTAGAATGGTGGTTGTCAGAGGCTGGGGGAGGAAGGAGTGGAGAGTTACTGTTTAAAGGGTAACAGTTTCAGTTTTGCATGATGAGGAGAGTTCTGGAGATTGGTTGTGCAACAATGTGAATATACTTAAGACTACTGAACTGTGCACTTAAAGGTGAAAATGCTATGTTTTATATTATGTATATTTTACACAATTTTAAAGAAGAATACATACTATATGAATCCATTATCTAAAATTCCAGAAAATGTAAACTAATCTATAGTTACAGAAAGCAGATCAGTGGTTGTCAGGGGATAAGGAGGGTGGAGAGAAGGGAAGAGGCATGATAATAGGACTTCAAAGAGGCACAAAGAAACTTTTGGGGGTGACAGAAACACTCGTCGTGCTGATTTCACAGGTATCAACATACATCAAAACATACACAACATAAACACACAAAAATTGTACACTTTAAATGGGTTTTCTAAAAATCCTCAATAAATAATAAAGCTATTTTTTTCTAAAAGGATAAATGGTATGTACTAATAAAAATTAGTGTACTTCCTTGCCTCATCATCAATCTTCATCTGAAAATCTTGCTCATTTTCTTCTTCTGGGGCAATAAAGGACTTCTCACCATAGCCAGCATCCTGGAAGTGGACCAATTCATGCAATCAATTATCAGTCAATTGGAAAGCACAAAGCACAATTTCACTGAACACCAAGTACAGAATATCAAAGCACATTTTGCAGAGAAAATGGATTCTGTTAACTATGACCATAAGCTATCAGAGGATATATTACATTTCAAGGAACTTATCAGCTGATATACGTATAGTTAAGGCCCACGAGGGAGCTAAATACAGATGCTCATTAACTCAGACTCATTAATTCAGTGGGTCAGAGTTGTGCCATCACACATCAGCTAGATCTTTTCTATTTTGGCCTGATAAGAATACTTAGGCGCTTCTCTCAACTACTGAAAAAACCCATAGGCATAAGCAGTGCCTAAGAGGAAGGTGTTCACCTTTAGTCGCTGCTCAGCAGCTATCATGCTATAATAAGCACAGCACTGCTCTGGAGACACCATAGCTCTGATCTCCTCTTCAGTTGGCAAACGAAAACCAGATTTCAGCACCCACCAGTTTGAGTCCATCCCTAAAAAAGATAAGAGAGAATGAAAACATTCTGAATTCCCAAGGCCCTTTCATTGACAGTGACAGGGATAGCAAACAAAGACTGAACCAGGAAATGTCCTAAAAGGTATGAGGCCTAGCCAAAGATAGTCTGACTGGTCAAGAGAACCCCTGCTAGGTTTTCATACATCTCAAATAAGACATCCAACAAACACACTGAATTTCCTGGCAGGCAAAATCACAAAGCAATCAGAGCCTCCACACTTCGAAGATTTTCTATCTTCTCCTTAAGATGACTAACAATTTCTTTTTCCATTTTGTTAGCGGTACACTTATCCTTCAACAGAAATCCCTGATTTCTTTCTTGGAAAGAAGCAGAGAGGGCAAATAATCAGTCACAACTGATGACCTGTGCGTTTGAAGTCAGCGCAGAGCTTTAGCCTCTTCCGGATGCTGCTTTCTGAATGGGAAGGAAAGGCTTTTTTTATATCTTCCATTCGGATCCGCCGTGGCCGATCTTTACTCTTCCAGAGGAGGCGGTAAATAAAAACCTGCCCAATAAACCGAATGTTTTTAACTGCCAAATAATAAAAGCCCTCACCAGGGCCCCTTCCCCTGCTAAGCCCCTGTGCATTTTGATCTTTCTTGATGTGCCCCCAAATTCATATGCCCTTTTATGTGCATCCTGACCTCCTCCTTATCCTCTCATTCTCACCTGCAGAAAGTCTTGAATGTGTGTATTCGCCCTTTTGGAGTTAGGCCTAGGAACCTCAAACAAGGGGCACTGCTGGCCAACCACAAAAATATCCACTAATTCCCGAATATAGTAACCTTGTCTTGTCCAAATGATAAGAAAGTCAGTTTCTGGCATCTTATGAAGGTAAATAGGGGCACGAAAAAGGTTGTTCTCAAGTGCCTAAAACAGAATGAAAAACACCAAATTATATACAGAGAAGCCCTAAGAAATTTGGTCAACTAATGAGAAAGGATAATCATGCTTGTCTGCTCTTGTCCCCATTATGCCACCTAAAATCCATTCAGTAATATAAACAAATTATAATATGGAATATCAAGTGGGATTGGATAGGTTAAGTTTTTATCCACTGGCAATCTGTAAGAGTCAGTAGAGGGGAAACTACAGGATTTGGAGTCATGACACTAGCTCTGCTACTCACTATTATAATGTCAGGTAAGTTATTTAATATCCCTGAGTCTAACTTTCCACCATCTACAAAACAGATACTTAAAATGCTTATATCTCACAGGATTGCAATAAAGATTACATATGGAAGTCATCTGATAAACAAGTACTATACTAATACCCTAGCCCCTGACATAATACAGATGAGATCAGAACATTTGTTAAAGAAATTTAAAAATAAAACAACAAAAGCTAATGAGGTAGAATATGTGCTAGAGAAGAGAGATTAAACATGGAAGAGAGAAAAATTTTGTACTTAAGTAGCAGTCACATGGGAATCAACTGTCACAAGAAACCTATGCATCTAAGGAAAGACTTCTGAGAAAATCAGAGCTGTGGAAAAGAAGAAAGAGGATCTTCAATATATGACTGTGCAAACAAAATTCTAATTGTGAAATACAGAAAGAAAAAGAATTACAGGAGAAGATAAAACAGGATTTTTCAGAAACGACAAAGGTAGCCACAAAAGCAGATGAATTGATAGAACATCTCAACAGAAAGTTACAGGAAGAAAAATGCCAGTAATAGAATAAAGATAGTACTCAAAATCTGTTGGAAAATGGACTACAGATGTAAAGGATAAAGAAAAGTAGGCTTTGCAGATGCTTTAAGAGAATAAGCCAGAGTAATAATGGAACTCACAAGGTACAAGAGCAGGGAAAAGGGTTAAGATTGCCAAGAGAAATTAAGTGGAGGAAAAACAAGGCAGGCAAGTTATAGAGATTTCCTCACATCATTTGTGGACCTCTCTATCTCCCTGTAACAAAATGTGTGAAAGCTAGGTTACCAGAGGGCCTTTCTACAGCCATCAAGGAAGGAAGAAAAAACATTTTACCACGGTTGTGGACTTTAAATAGCACAGTTTAGGTGTGGTTCAATACTCAAAATGACCACAAATAATATAGTCAAAACATACCACTTAGACATATCCAAATCAAACATTTATAAACTACCTATTATTATTAATCCCAGGTTGACTTCCCTTTGCCACCCAGATGTTTCTGGATTTACCAGTGTGCACAATTTCAAAAAAACTACTTTAAATTTAGCTCATGAATAAGATAGTTAGAAGCCAATTTTAATAAAAAGATCAAAAAAATTTTGGATTACAACCACTCTTGGATTATACTGATCTTCCCCACATTTGATGTTAAGAGTAGTACCTCAATGAACTGAAATTGGTTCTCTCTGGGCTGACTAGCTCATCTGTCAATTTCTTAAACATTACAACAGGAAAGAATTCCTCACCTGCAATAATTGGCCAGGATGGAGAGATCCCAGAAAAGGAGATGTATGGCAGTAAACAGTTTCTCCATATTTACAATCAGGGGCTCCAGCGTCTTTTTCAGGTTTCTGTAAGGAACACAGCAGACTCACGTATTATCATGGAATATAATCAATAAACCTACACAAAATATTCCATGAGCATAACTGACACTTTACTAGTATTACTACCTCTAAGATACCATTCCTTTCTTCCAAGAAATCTATAGTATAACAAAGACATATACACATTTACAGATTATCACTGGACATCTGACTAGCTATATGAACAACAAAGATCTTCTGAGTAGACTCACCCGCTTATAGTAATTTTTTATCTTGGTTGCCATTCCAACCTGCATCATTAATGGTCCATGTTCCTCACTGTATTCTGCAAGAATAAGATCTCCATCTTTGCCTGTGAGGTCCTGAGGTGTGCGCATAAAAAACATCTCTCCACCACCTGAAGCTTGCCTCTCCTGTTCTCTCATCTGCCCAGAATAAAGAGAATATAGTCCAGCTCCTGATAGGGTAACTGAAACTACAGACTGATGCTGTTCATTCTGAGACACTGACTCCAAACACTACCTCAACTTGCCTTTTCTTTCATTTCATCACAAAAATTCTGAAACATTATAATAAAGCTAAAACTACAGAACACTTATCTCACCACCTACATGTAATTGTTTATATTCTGCTGTATTTGTTTTATCTATAACAATCTCCTATGGATTCTGCAGAACCATTTCTGAAAATTGCAGTCATCGAGCACTTCAGCCATGAAGTATTCTTGCTCACGACTCCTAAAAATAAGGACAGTCTCCTAAATAACCAGAGTAACATTCTATGACATCTAAGAAAGTAAATAATTCCCTAATATCACCTAATATCCAGTGCATTCCCCCAATTTGTACTCCAATGTTTTTTATGGCTGGTTCTTTCTAACCAGGATTCAATCATAATACCTTAGCCTTCTTTTTGATGTGCTTTAGCAAGGGCTGGACTGAATGAGGAGCTGGCTGAGATACTGCCTCAAAGGAATCCTTCTTCAGAGGTGGGCGATGGAACTGCCGGAGTTTGATGGGCCCCATGTGGGTGGGAAAGAAGGGCTGCTGTAACTCCACAGCAGGAATTGAGTGCTAAGCCAGGAGATACAAAAGTACTAATTAAATACTAACTCTAGCTTAGGCAAGATTAACCCCTATTCTCCAGCAGAACAAAGCAGTGATTCCCATACACCACAGAAAAAATGCTTTTACCTGGATAATATTTCCTCCAAAAGTGCCTCTAAGACCCTGTTGCTTGGGGTAGTAATATTCATCATTGGAGAGATTCCATGGATCTTTCACTTCTGGCTGACACATGTTCTAAATGACAGGTCATCAAATAAACCTTAGTCAGACTACCCTTCTCCATTACCTTTCTTTGTTCTAAACACTGAGTCCCTTTTCCCTTCACAGACCTGCTGTGGTTTCTCCTTGATGACACCTGTTTTCCCTAGGAGAATTCGACTCTTCTTCAGAGATGATTCCTTCTTATTCTCCTTACAGGAGGAGTTAGAGGTGGCTTCTTCCTTCTCATCAGGAATTTCTAAGGATGAAATAAAAATCACTCTGGAGGTGCTATCCCTAAGATTCACCTTTTCTCCCAGTACCTTTGTACTTCCTAACCAGATCTCTCATCCCACTCCAAACCACTTCTAGTCCATGATTCACTCTCACCAAACACACTCAGGACGTCTCAAAGGTACTGCTTTCCAACTTTCCTACATTACAAGTTTTCCCTAAATGATACACAAATATTAGAAATTAACAGCCACCGTTTGCTCTCTCAAACTGCTACAGAGAAGATTCTAGTTATGACCTACCCATTTCCTACTGCCTCTTGACATTAACAGCAAGCTGTCAATTATGAAACTGGCCTTACAGTACCATACCCAAAATGAGATTCTCATCATTGGGATCAAGTGTCAAAACAGGAGGCTCCAACAGTCGGGGCATGGCCTGGGCATCCCAGATGATATTGTCCTCCCAGCGTCCATATACCAGCTCCTCATTGTCAATGGGGAAAATGGAATACCAAGGCTTGTCATCATCCAGGGTGGCTGTAAAACCTAGTCAAAACAGGAAGAAAAACTCAGCAATAGACAAAACACTTATGCCCCTTTCAATCATGATTCTAGCAGAGGAAAAACGAACAAATGTTAGAAGAATTACTGATGTGGCTACTGAAAAGAAACCTACTGGACACAGTGTATTTCTCACTTTAAAAAACGTTGCAGAAAAACATGCTTCTTGCAATAACTTTAACGAGTCAAAATTTAAATAGCCATATGTTTAATAGAATCAGTTAAATTTTGGTAATAAATGATATGGCAAAATATGGTAACAATAAATGGCAGTAAAATATATTAAAAATACAATTATTGCTGTAGTTTATAAAATCATCCATGTAAGAATACTGTGCAACCAATAAAGTGTGTGACAAAGGAAAAAAATAATTTCTTGGATTTAAAAATTAAGACATTTTTGTTGTTCTTCCAAATTATATATGTAATCCATGTTAACTGTAAATCTGGAAAAAAATACAGAAAGGTATAAAGAAAACTGAACCTATCTGTGATCTTACAAACCAGAATAACCACTTTGACACCCATACTGAAGTTGCTTTTAGTCAGCTTTCTGTGTTAATATAGAGTGCTTTTCTTCCCCACTTACACAAGCAGGGTATCAAGTATGCCACTTCATATGTTTTTTGTTTAAAACGAGTTTCCCATGTCATTAAACATTTATGAAGAACTTAGAACATAGAATACTTAGTTAAAAACTGTATCTATAGAGATGAGCCCAGCTACTACATACACACACACACACACACACACACAGAAAACTGAAAACAAAGTATATAAAAAAGTTAATAGTCAATAGTCTTTGGATGGTAGGATTACCAGGGACTTTTGACAACATATTTTCCAATTTTTCTACACTAAGTATTAATATACCTTTTTTGGCATGTTTAAAGAGAAAGAAGGCAAATTCTGAATGATAAAGATAAAGGAGTTTTGGAAACAAAATGAACCACATAAAGAATTTTTATAGCTCAGAAAGATCTTTAATTTCAAAATGGTTATCACATTCTTCTAATGAGAATCACAGCTCATTAATAACAGTGCAAAAAAAATTATTAAAGACTAGAATCAGGGCTCAGATCCGAACCATTTCACTGCCCTGACTCAGCAGCAGCAAAGATTACAGCTAAGCCCAATTAGGATGACTGAGATGAAGGGCAGTGTGCTGGACACAGCCAGCATAGAAACAAACCTTGCTGAACGTTATAAGCCATGGCATTCGGTGTCATTCTGGAAGGAAGCCAGCCTGCCAGGCTTCCACGCTGAGGGTCTGTCCCTTTGGGTTTGACATCCTCTCCATCCCAGATGATATCATCCTCCCAATGCAGCTGTGTCACCATCAGGAAGTTTTCATCAGCCAGAAGATCAGTGCCATTGCTTTCCTCAAGCTTCCTAAAGTCCTGCATAAGTACGGAAGGAACAACAAATCCCTGAATGGTCACTGGTCAAAGTTTTCACCCCAAATCCCATATTACATACATCACATGTGGTTCTTGACCTGAGAGAACCACCCAATAATGGAGGACCACTCCTAGTCTGGCACAGCACTCATTTCACAACTAAAATCCTTACAATGGGACCTAGATGCCAGGGTGATACACCTTACCAGACAAAAGGCTTAGACACCCACATCTTTCACCAATGAAACCCTGTCCAGTATCATCCTAGTTGGAAAGTAAAATAAAAATAAGAGGGCCCTGGGCACTTTGATTCCATTCTTACATACTAGTGTTGCTTACCTCCATCATTCTATTTTTTATCACAGGTTCATGTTCCATCTTTCTCAGTTTGATGCCATAGTCAAACCCACTGCCATCTTCAGGGACACCCAGCATATCATACCACAGTCGGGCGGGCCCGTAACGCCACTCAGCCACTTTTGGTTTGATATTTGTCAGTTTATCTGTATCTCCAGTTGACTGGGAAAATTTGGACTCCACAGGAGCCATCACCGTGATCTGTAACAAAACAAAGTAGTGGAAGGGGAAGAGGATTTCCTGATCCCAGCTGTCCTAAGAATATAGGCAGGAGAGCAAGTTAAAAGATCCATAAGGATGATTCTTGAATAGAATTGGAGTTAGAATATGAACAACAGAAGTATATCAAGGCACACTGTGCTTATCATTCAAACTCTCCTATTCCCCAGTTTACATATCACCATCTTCCAGCCCCCAGTACTTTTTTATTACAAAAAGGAAGGGATAGCCACTGGGACTGAACTCATGATTACTTGTAATCACCACAGGACTCTGCCTACTAAGGTGTTATTCCTAATTTAGACATATGCTAGGGGGAACTCATTTGTTCCCCTCCTAGGTCTTAATCGCAGGTCCCTATTTTGTCTACTTCATCATCAGAGACACGGCTTTGGAGGTGGTGGCAGAGCAAAGTCTTAGTTCCACAAAGACTTCTGGTTGGTTTATGATTCTACTGAGCACTCCACCTCCTGGATCTGCTCTTCTTGTATCAGATCATGGTGCTTCTTTTTCCTCTTTCTCCGAGCACTCCGCCAAATAGATGGGACGTTCTTCCCTGGCCCAAAAAGACGTAGGAAGCGTAACACCTAGTACAAAGAACACATTACTGTATCAGAAACTCAAATGCCAGATACAAAAACAGCAACATCTGGGTCTGGAAACTTTGAGGGGTCTACTCAACTGTGAAGAAGAGATAAGGAGCGATAAACTCAGATTTATAACCTCTTCCAAAAAAGCAAAGAAAGAAGTATTCCTTAGTAATTTGGACTAATTCTTCTAAGACAACAAGAACGATTTCTAATGAGAACTATATAAATCACATGTGCTATCAATGCATGCAACTTAAAAAAAGACTTACTATAATGTCCTTGGATAAGGACACCTTTAGATTTTAAGAATAAGGAAGCCATTCTATATTCAGTACCTTAACAATAGATCTCAGTACTTAGAAGAAGTCAGTGGTTTGCAATGTGGGCATTCTCCACAGAAAGTACCTTTCCAGGTCGAAATTCTGGGAAAAGTTCTGTGACACTTGGCAACAGCTTGGTGGCATCATACTGCATAATCCCAGCCAATGGTAGGGTTAGTTTTCCATTCTCAGATTCTGCCTGTGTTACTTCCTGAGGTCCCATCTCAAATTCTGAGTCAGAGGAACTACTGAAGTCCACTTTCTCTGAGGCCAAAGAGGCAGGGGCAATGACGGAGGGCAAGATGATGTCTTCTGCATCCTCAGACACTGCAACAAGGAAGAGAAACCCCTTTGGCATATAGGTGTGAGCATTATTTCCTCAAATTCAGCCAACAACCCCCAATCTAGGCTTATGCATGGCTCAGTGGCAGGGGATATAGTTCCAAGAACTCAGATTACTAGAATGCAACCCAAAACACTCATTCCAATTCATTATCTCCCACTATCCCCAACTCACCTTGTACCTGGTACCCTAGGGTTGTGATGAAAGAGAACAAACACTATTACTACATTTATTACTTCCTGTAAATATATTAGGTTAAATGAATGTGCCCAAAATTATACATCTTTACATCAGTCAGCCCTTATCATGTCTGGTTCAGAGACCCATGAGGTGAAGAATTTTTTTAAGGCCATAGGATAACAATTAAGTTATTTACCATAAAATAAGATCTATGGAGGGGGGGGCGGAGCCAGTATGGTGGCGTGAGTAGAGAGTGGAAATCTCCTCCCAAAAACACATAGAGCTTTGAAAATATAACAAAGAAAACTCTTCCTAAAATAGGAAGAGGACACAGGTCAACATCCAGACCACATCCACACCTGCAAGAACCCAGCGCCTTGCGAAGGGGGTAAGATACAAGCCCCGGCCCGGGGGGACCAGAGCGCCCCTCCCCCCGGCTCCCGGCGGGTGGAAAGAAACCGGAGCGGTTTTTGTTTTTGTTTTTGGCGAGTGCTTTTTGGAAGCCTTAAAGGGACAGGGACCCCATTGCTAGGGAGGCAGGGCGGCAGAACCAGTGAGCGGGTGCCTAGGACCGGCGCCTGAGGACAAAGATTATCACGCGTTTATCCCTACAGGACTGGTAGGCGGGTGCCTGAGACTGGCGCCTGAGGACCGAGGAAATCGCGCGTTTTTCCCCTTTTTTTTCCTCTTTTTGGTGAATGCTTCTTTGAAGCCTTAAAGGGACAGGTACCCCAGTGCTAGGGAGGCAGAGCAGCAGGACCAGTGAGCGGGTGCCTGGGACCAGTGCCTGAGGACAAAGAATATCCCGGGTTATTCCCTGCGGGACCGGAGGGCAGGTGCCTGAGACAGGCGCCTGACGGAGGAAATCGCGCGTTTTTCCCCTTTTTTTTCTCTTTTTGGTGAGTGCTTTTTAGACGCCTTAAAGGGACACGGACCCTGGAGCTAGGGAGGCAGAGCAACAGGACCGGTGAGAGGGGTGCATGGGACCGGCGCCTGAGGACAAAGATTATCACGCGTTTTTCCCTACGGGACCGGTGGGCGGGTGCCTGAGACCGGCGCCTGAGAACAGAGGAAATCGCGAGTTTTTCCCCTTTTTTTTTCTCTTTTTGGCGAGTGCTTTTTGGAAGCCTTAAAGGGACAGGGTCCCCGGTGCTAGGGAGGCAGAGCAGCAGGAACGGTGAGCGGGTGCCTGGGACCGGCGCATGAAGACAAAGAATATCGCACGTTTTTCCCTGCAGGACCGGTGGGCGGGTGCTTTTTGGAAGCCTTGAAGAGACAGGGACCCTGGTGCTAGGGAGACAGGGCAGCAGGACCAGTGAGAGGGTGCCTGGGACCAGCGCCTGAAGAAAAAAAAAAAATCGTGTGTTTTTTCCTTTTTTTTTTCTGTTCCCTCTCTCATTGTTGCTGCTGTTGTTTTGGTTTGGAGAGTGCTTTCTGGAAGTCTTAAAGGGGCAGGACAGGACACTTAGACCAGAGGAAGGGAATCTGGGGATCTCTGGGCACTCTAACCCACTGGGCAACAGGGAGCACAGAGGCCCTTTATGGAGATAAATAGCCTCCCCGCCGCCGTTCCCCCTCCAACAGGGCTCCACCCCTTTGAAGGAGCAACCACAGCCACGCCACACCCACCGCAACAGTGGAGATAAACTCCATAGCAAACAGGCAGGTAGCAG